TCTCAGGTTTAAGGATTAATTTGAGTAAGTCAGAGTTGATTCCGGTGGGGGAGGTTGGGCAGTTGCCAGTTTTGGCGGCGGTTTTAGGTTGTATGGTGGCTATGTTACCGGTAACTTATCTGGGCCTGCCGCTGGGTGCTAGTTTCAAGGCAAAAGGGGTGTAAGAAGGCGTGTTGGATCGGGTTCAACGTCGTCTAGCAGGCTGGAAGCGACAATATTTGTCGAAGGGTGGTAGGTTGATGCTTATCAAAAGTGTGTTGAGTAGTATTCCGACTTTCTTTATGTCTTTGCACGTTATTCCCGTTTCTGTGGCTGCTCGGTTGGAGAAACTTCAGAGGGATTTTTTGTGAGGGGGTGGTGGAGAGGATTTCAAATATCACTCGGTGGATTGGGGGCGGATTTGTCAGCCGAAGGAGGTGGGTGGTTTAGGAGTGCCGCGTTTGGTGCAGTTTAATATGGCTTTGTTAGGGAAGTGGTTGTGGCGGTTTGCTATGGAGCGGGGTTGCTTATGGCAGAGGGTGGTGGCTTCTAAGTTTGGAGTTGATGTGGGGGATTGGCAGTTGGGAGTAGTGAGGGGATCTCATGGGCGGGGCTTGTGGAAAGGAATTTGCTTGGGAAATGAGGAGTTTTGGGAGAGGGTGACTTTTCGCGTGGGTACTGGGAAGAAGGTTAGATTCTGGCATGATAAATGGTGTGGATGTTTGGCTTTGGCGGCGCGTTTCCCTTTAATTTTTAGCATTGCCAGGGATCGCGAGGCCACGATCGCTTCTTATTTGGGGACAGGGGAGGTGATGGTTTGGGATATCCAGCTTCGGCGTGAGGTTCAGGATTGGGAAGTCAATCAGTTGGGGGAGTTATTCACTTTTCTGTATGGGTAGGGTTTGTTACGTACAGGCAAAGATGGGTTGGTTTGGGATGTTGTGGGTACTAAAGGTCAATTCTCTGTTCGGTCCTTTTATCGCTGTTTGGTGGGGGAAGTGGGAGGTGTGTTTCCTTGGCGGAGCATTTGGTTGCCTCGAGTTCCTTCTAAGTTGGTGTTCTTTTTATGGACTGCTGCTTTGGGTCGCAATCTTACTATTGACAATCTGGTTCGTCGAGGGCATGTGCTCATGAATCGGTGATGTATGTGCTGTGTAGATGCAGAGACCGTTGATCACTTGTTTCTTCATTGTTCTCTTGCTTCTCGTTTATGGGAGTTGGTCTGTTCTCTTTTTGGGATGTCTTGGGTGCAGCCAAAACGGGTTGTCTATATGTTGTGGAGTTGGAGGGGGGCTCGAGTTGGGAGATCTCGGCGACGAGTGTGGTCGTTGGTGCCTTTTTGTTTAATGTGGTTGGTCTGGCTGGAACAAAATAGGAGAATCTTTCAAGGACTCCAGCGTTCGGCGTTGTGGTTGGAGGATCGTTTCTTGGTTACTTTGTATAGCTGGTTAGAATGTAAAGTAGAACCGGATATATTTTCTTTTTTAGATTTCTTGGATGATGTAATTGGTTAGGCGAGTTTGGCTTTCTTCTTTTTGTTGTCTTGGTTTCATTGCATCTTCTTGATGCTTTCTAATAAAATAATTATTTATCAAAAAAAAAATATTAAATTTATAATTTTACCCTTTAAAATAAGGCATGTGACATGCACATGGCCAATTTCTGTCAAAAAACTTAGCTACCATTTTCAATTGGGACAAAAAGAGACAAAATATAAAATTCAAGGTTAAAATCGAGTGATTTGAAAATATAGAGACTAAAATAACACAAAAGTATACCATATGCATTATTTTAAGGGTGAACATCGTAGCATCTTCCTTTTCTCTATGTTGATTGTTGGTATGGTTTGTAGGATTGGCTGATACCTATTGAAATTGTGATAATTGATTTAGATCCTTTTTGGGTTATTACCTGGACTGCTGAAATCAATGTGTAGTTATCGGCATTTGCATATGCATATATGGAAACTTATGATATTTGGTTGCATTGACAGTTTTATTGCTTTGGCCTTTGTTAGTGTGTGGCATTCACCCAAAAAAGATATATATATATATATATTTTTAAAATTTTTAGCAATTTTTTTCTTTTTAAATTATGTCCATTTTTTTTTTACGTTTTAGGTTTGTCTTATGTAGACAAATCTAAAATAAAAAAATAAAAAATAAAAAAATCCTAAAGACAAAAAAAAGTTACAAAAAAATAAAAAGTCAATTGTTTTTGATTTTTTTTATAATCCTTTTCGGACTTTTTTTTCAAAATTTTCAAGTTTTGATCTTTTCTAATTTCTCTAGTTGAGTAGAATTCAAGAGTGTAACACTTTTTAATTTAAAAAAAAAACATTAAAGATGAAAAAAAAATCAACAAAAAGTTATTAAAAAAGCCAACCTCAAACACTTGTAAATTGGTTAAAATTCAATAGACACAAATAGATAAAGAATAAAACACACACACATACACACAAATCTTTGGCAAGGATTAATCATTAACAAATTAAACAAAAAGTAGTGCAAGTTAAGAAACATACTTGTATATTACTGATGTTACATGCTTCTCCTAAATCATTAAAAGTTTTCACACAAGTAAAGATTACTACAATGTGAAGAAAAACATGAATAGTTGAACCTATATGTGAATTTGACTGTGGCACAATAGCTCTCTGTTTTGATAAGGTTTTTGTTGGTGATACCATTACTATATGTATATCATTGTTGGAGCATTTTGCTCAATTCTCAAAATTGAAACTAGAATCCATGGCCTCAATTGGCAAAAATCATAGAATTCACCAATAAAAGGAGAATACATATATATGCAACACACAGTTTATAACATATTATGGACAATATGATAGTTCACAAGTCATTTATTTAAGGAAAGACTTACTTTAGAATATTTTACAAAAGACACAATCACCAAACCCCACCAACATATATACTAGAACTGTAGAATTATTCAAACTTATTTCTTTCCAACAACTCAAGAAAATCCATAACATGATCTCAATGCTGCTTCCTCTGAGGGTCCTTTCTCCAGCTGAATATAAGACCCTTCAATGATAGCAAAGCATATAACAGGCATATTAGTGGATGTTAACATGGTTTCTCTGAAATAATGCAACAAATGACTTCCGAAAAAATATTTGAGAAATGTATTTGCATTATTTGAACTATATAGCAACAAACCTGCATTTGTTTCAATGTTTTTAAGCATGTGACAAAGAATTTTGGCGCTTTTGGTAAAGAAATTAGGTGGAATTTAATCTGTACTTTGCTATATGATCTTGAATGTAAGACATGTTTTGATGATAATCTGGAAATATCATTACCTCCACTTCAAAATATGAATGGTTATTCTTCAAGTAGTGATGATGTTCCAAAACTCATTAACATGAATAGAATTGTCATGTTAATGATGGTAAGGAATTGAAAAAAATTCGAAAGATTCATGCAAGATAAATCATGGGTTATGAAGATGTTAATTTGATGCACGATCGCAATCAAGAAAAGATACAGAGGTAATATAGTTACATGAGAGAGAGAGAGAGAGAGAGAGAGAGAGAGAGAGACGAACCAATTGGGTGATAAATTCATCCTCCAAATTTGCCTTTGTTGAATATCCTCCTTAGCTGAGCGAGCTTGATTGCTATGTTTATTGATATCCAATTGTAGTTGTTTTCGATGAACTGGAAGTATGCATACCTCCAAGACTTCTTGAAATTCAAAGTGCCACAGACCCCCAAGAACCCAACCAGGAAACCAGATCCAATGCCAGTGTAGAACCACAAAAAATCAGTTTCATCTGCAACTTTACTCTCATCAGCATGTTTGTGACCACCATCAGATGATTTATTATCGAGGCAACTGTTTAGGAGTGGTGCACCACAAAGGCCATCGTTGCCTATATAAATGGAAGGATCATTGAGGGTTTGAAGTTGATTTCCTGGTGGTATTCGCCCTGATAAATTATTGAATGACATGTTCAAATGACTTAGGTAGCTTAAACTGGACAGACTTGGAGGAATGGGGCCAGAAAGTTTGTTTTGAGACAAATCAAGAGATTCCAATTGTGTCAAATTGCCAATATTATTAAGGATCCTTCCTTTTAGATAATTTCCAGACAAATTCAAGTTCAGCAACCCAGAAAGATCCATTAACTCTTTTGGAATCTCTCCAACAATGCCATTGTTCGAAAGGTTCATGGAGACGAGAAATTTGAGTGTCTTGGTGTATTCCAGTTCTCTTCCTTTCATTGAATCCAAAATGTTCTCTTCATAATTAATATTCACTTCTATTCCAGCTGGATCACTATCTAGTGCAACCATGTTAGTGAAGTTGCCAAAACAACGAGGGATATTTCCCGTTATGTTATTTTGTGCCAAGTTCAACAATTGCAAATTTTGGAGCTGACAGAGTTGCGGAGGAATATCACCGTAGAAATTATTTGATTGAAGATTGAGAAATCTAAGATTAGTTAGGTTATATCCAATCCATGAAGTGATATTATCAGTGAACACATTTTCACCTAGATCAATGGTGAAAAGACGTGTCAAATTTCGTAAGGACAAAGGAAGCTTCCCATAAAACTTATTGTTACGCAAGTGCAAGGATTGTAGTTGTAGGGAACTTGGAATTTCACCATATAGACTATTATTCATCAAATCTAGCACATCCAACTGCCACAAGCAAGGAGGAATTCTTCCTGACAACTGATTGTTTGAGAATTTAATATAAGTTATATTCTTTACCTTGCACAAAGACACTGGAATGACACCAGTCAAATGGTTATTTGAGAGATCTAACAAATAAATATCTGAAGGAAGCGGTGTTAGTGGGCCCTCAAATCTGTTAGAACTCAAATATAACCATCTATCATCAGCAATATATCTATATTTAAATTTTTGACATATTGGCAGCTTTCCTTTGATCTGGTTGTTGGAAAAATCCAAGCTTATAATGCCACAATAAATACTCTCAAACCAATCAGGAATGACAACTGAGATGCTTGCATTAGACATGTCTAAGTCTCTAACATTTTTTTTGTGTTTCGAGCCATTGAGGAAATTGGGGTCCTAGTTTGATGGATGACAATTGTATGACTTGGAGTTGAAAGGGAGGAACCCATTGGGAGGTCACATTCAAAACTAATGAATTTGATTCCAAGAACAATTCATTTAAACTCATGAGTTTGGCAAAGTGAAGTTCAGATACGGTGCCAACAAATGAATTGTTTGACAAATCTAGAGATTCTAGTTTTGAAAGTTGTCCAAGACTAATTGGAATGCTCCCATTCAATTGATTGTCTCTAGTATCTAACTCTCTCAAATATGATAGTCTTCCGAGTGATGATGGCAGAGGACCATAAAATGAATTCCTTCTAATAATAAGCCTCTCTAGTTTCTTAAACTCTCCCAAATGGTTTGGCAGACCGCCACTCAAATTATTGGAAGAAAAAGACAAATCTTCCAAACTATTATGGATGCAACCAAATGGACTTCCAATAGAAGTTGAAAGCTTTCCAGTGAACATGTTATAGAAGAAATCCAATAGACGCAAGTTGCAGAGGTTCCTCATGGAGTTTGGTATTTCACATGCAAATGCATTCGAAAAGAGGTGAAGCTCTGTAAGTTGTGTCATATTTCCCATCTCACTTGGAATTGGACCTTGAAACGCATTCCAAGAGAGGTCAAGCTCTGTAAGTTGCGTCATATTTAACATCTCACTTGGAATTGGACCTTGAAGTTGATTGTAATTCAACCTGAGGATGGAAAGAGAAGCAAGATTCCCAAGGCAATGGGGGATTGCACCTATAAGGCTACTATAACTAAGATCTATATGGACAAGACTGCTCAGGTTACACAAAGAATACGACATTGAATCATTGAAATTCTTACTTGAAAGGTCAAGGACTGTGAGAGACGTCAACCTTCCAAGTGTATCAGGAATTGGACCATTTAAATAACTATTGCTAAGGTTGAGATACCGCAACCTTGAAAGATTTCCCAGATGATGAGGAATCGTTGCATTGAAAATTGACGAAGAGAGGTCAAGGTATCTCAAGCTTTTCAAAAAAGCTAAGGAATTAGAAATTTGCATATTGTTCATGCTCAAGTCTAGGTAATGCAAATGATTCAAATCGAGTAAGGAATGTAACGCCCTTCAAAATAATACATAAACCCATCATTTTAGACATGCATTGATAAAAAAAAAACCAACCATTTCTATTCATCAGAGTAATTCTTACAACTGTATTACATGTTAACAACAAAAGCAAATGCCCTATGGGCTTACAGCTTTCCAAGTCAACACTTGGTTACACAAAAGAAGAGTACTAACTCTATATAAAATAAGCCCTTGGCTTGATGTACATGTAATACAAGCAAATTAATCAAAAAAAAAGAGTCTTCAACTCTCATCGTCATCCAAGCTATGTCCTTGGAGGCGGCATGCTACCTGTACCTGAAAGTAATGTCCCATAAAGGGTGAGCCAACGCCCAGTAGAGATATATTAAACACTGTATGAGCAATGACTAAGACATTAGTAATTGATAAATGTTCAATTTCCATAAACCAATTCATAACCCATTTCCATTTCACTTCAATTTCCATTTCTTATCAATTTCACAATTTACATCAACGGCTCAGAACCTGGCCAACCACTTATATGAGACAATGACTCATATTAAACATTTCCCATTTTTAGAATAGATAAACATACTAGTTGTATCAACATCTCAACAGATAAGCATACAAGCTGTATCCACATTTCAACAGATATGCATATTAGCTATATCAACACTTCCAATGACAAGCATATGAGCTGTATCAACACTTACAAAGATAAGCATATGAGCTATATCAACACATTATCTGACAAGCATATGGGCTGTATCAGTGGAGTCCATCCCCTATCTCCTCTTAAACAACATCCGGTTTAGAGGTCCATCCCCTATCTTCTCCTAAACCGTGGAGTACATTCACTATCTCCTCCCACACACACAACGTATATACACATAGGTCATATACACAATCAATCAATACATAATGTTAATGTATTCTATCAACCGTCATACTCTATGACATATCCAACTGATTAGTTTTAGTTTGCCTAATCATCATGCATTGTCTACAACAATCAACACTACCCTCCACCGGTAGCCTAAGCAATTATTTCTAAACAGATAATAAAAGCTCCAACAGATAAAATATCAATGTTTTCAAAAGTGAGCGATTTATAAATCCAACTCCATCATTTCACAACATAATGAGCCAACTTCATTATTTCCAACTCAATTCCATAAGTCCACAATTTTTCCAAATTAATTATACCAATCAATTTATTCGACGAATTAGGGTTTTCTACCCCATTTTCCAATATTGACCCAATGGCCTATATATCAACAACCAACAACAAAATCATTATTTTGAAACCCAAAATACATATTCTTGAATCAAAATAACAAAAAACCCTTTCAACATTTTCAAACCTAACTTCCCAAAATCAACCATTAAACAAAATACTCAAATATCTAGGTCAAAACCCATAGTTGTGAGTAGGAATCCCTACCTCAAATTTGGAGCTCAAGGGAAGAAGATGACGGAACTCAACGTGCTCCAAAACTCGAAATGTTCGGATCACGGTAAAGCCCTCGACGATCAACCTAACTTTTGTAAAGACCAAAGGTGAGGAAAACACCCTAGCTAGATCAATACTTAGAGAGAAGTTATGGTTTTAAAGAGAGAAGCTCTCAAATGGCTTTTTGGAAAAGTAAGAGAGAGAGAGAGAGAGAATGTAAAATGTGATTTTAAAATGCCCAGCTGCCAACTGATATACGACATTCCCGCTCGAGCGGAGAACACAACGCTCCAGCGCCAAGAACAAAAATCAGTACACGCTCGAGCGCAAGAAGGCCCGCTCGAGTGCCGAGACACAAGAATAAAGCACAGCCGCTCGAGCGCGAAAACCAGTCCGCTCGAGCATAGATTTCCCCCTCCCAGAACTTACACCCAAAAAGTACTACCCGCTCGAGTGCCAACAAACCCGCTCGAGTGCGACCCGCTCGAGCGCAGGAAACCCGCTCGAGCGTAGAAATCACACCTGCAGAAGTTTTGCAGGGACACGAAATACTGGGGGTGTGCAATCCCCGCTCGAGCGCTAGAAGACCCGCTCGAGCGGACCGCCTAAAAACTGGGCAACAAGGAATTGAAACCAAGCCCTAACCAAACTGTAACAACCCTGCCCAAAACATCCTAAAACTCAAACAAATGGAATTAAAGGACGACAACAAGATAGATACAATTACCAACTCCACGGAACCGAGTCCGGAATACAACAGAACAGTAAAGGGGCAACCGGGATCGCTATAACATCCCCCCCTTAAAGAATTTCGTCCCCGAAATTAAACACGAGTTTTTCAAAAACAGGTTTTCTCCATTCACAACAATATTACAACACAATATTGAATATTCCGACCCATTACCGGTTAATCCCATCTCTTTTCAAGAGGCATTTCACATTACACGTAACCACCAGCATTATCAACATGCATTCCTTTGAAATCTACCAATTTCAACTCATTTTCCACAATCCCATAACACATGCAACATTTATATCATGCTTGCATTTTCACAATATATTTAACATACGCAATGCTAACATAGCTTCCAATTACCAAAACATCCACAATGTTTTACAACTTAAGACATATACAATGCTCTTAAAGTTCAACAATATTATAGAATTTCATTACAAAATTACACATCAACAAACATGTCCGGATACTTTTCATGGACTTCCAACTCACATTCCCAAGTGGCTTCCTCCACTCCGTGATGTTTCCACAAGACCTTTACCAAGGGAATGGTCTTGCCTCACAAGACTTGATCCCGCCTATCCAAGACCCGAACCGGTCTCTCCTCATACGAGGCATCCTCATCTACCTCCAAGTCGGTCCAATCCAACACATGGGATGGATCCGGCTCATACTTCCGAAGCATACTAACATGAAAGACGTCATGAACCCCGGATAACTGCGGTGGCAAAGCCAAACGATAAGCAACTTCCCCAATCCTCTCAAGGATCTCGAAGGGACCAATAAACCGAGGGGATAACTTCCCACTCTTCCCAAACCTCATCAAACCTCGCCTAGGTGATATTTTTAGGAAAACATGATCACCTACCTCAAACGCCAAAGGCCTCCTCCTACGGTCGGCATAGCTCTTTTGGCGACTCTGGGCTGTAACAAGCCTCCTACGGATAAGCTCAACTTTCTGCGTCGTCTCCCTAACCAACTCCGGACCCAACAAAGGTGCATCACCCACCTTGGCCCAACACACTGGAGACCTACACGGTCGGCCATACAAGGCCTCAAACGGTGCCATACCGATGCTAGACTGAAAACTGTTTTTATAGGCAAACTCCACCAAGGGCAAGTGCCTCTCCCATGTCCCACTAAAGTCAAGGACACAACCTCGAAGCATATCCTCAAGGATCTGAATAGTACGCTCGGACTGCCTGTCAATCTGAGGATGATAAGCCGTACTAAAGGTCAACTTAGTGCCCAAGGCACTCTGCAAACTCTGCCACAACCTGGCAGTAAAACGAGGATCTCTATCTGAGACGATCGTCACTGGGACCCCGTGCAATCTCACTATGTCCCGAATATACAAGTCGGCGAGATGATCTACCGAATCTCTCACGCGCATGGAAATGAAGTGCGCCGACTTAGTCAACCGGTCTACAACCACCCAAATGGCATCACTACCCCGCGGAGTCCTCGGAAGACCTACAACGAAGTCCATAGTGACATGCTCCCACTTCCACTCGGCAATAGGCAAGGGTTGCAACAAACCCGCTGGCCTCTGATTCTCGGCTTTCACTTGCTGGCAAGTAAGGCACTTCGACATGAAAACAGCCACATCTCTCTTCATACCCCGCCACCAAAACTGGCGACCCAAATCTTGTACATCTTAGTGCCTCCCGGATGCACCGCAAGGCGTGAATGATGGAACTCTCGGAGTACTTCCTCTCGGCAAGACTCCGGCACAAACAAACGGTCTCGGTATCTCACACTCTGGTCGGGATACACCATCAAACCCTTCTCAACTTTCCCACTGGAGATCTTCTCTTGGAAGGACTCTACCTCAAGGTCACCTCGCTGTGCCTCTAACACTCGTGTCACAAGTGTAAGCTGCGCAACAACAGAAGACAAGGTCGCAACCTCAACAGATTCGCCCAGAAGCAAGTCAAGCTCGCCAAGCGCACCCAACATCTCACATTCCCAGATGGCTATACAAGCTACATCACTAATGGATTTCCTACTAAGGGCATCGGCCACAACATTGGCCTTTCCCGGGTGATTGTGCAACTCAAAATCATAGTCCTCAATGAACTCCATCCACCTTCTCTGCCTCAAATTCAAGTCCCTCTGTGAAAACAAATACTTCAAACTCTTGTGGTCCGAGAACACCTCGAACCTCTCACCATAAAGGTAGTGCCTCCAAATCTTCAAGGAAAAGATCATTGCTGCTAACTCTAGGTCGTGTGTAGGGTAATTCTTCTCGTGTATTTTCAACTGACGTGAGCCATAAGCTACCACTTTCCCCTCTTGCATCAACACACAACCCAAACCCTCTCGTGAGGCATCACAATAAACCGCGTAACCCAACCCTCTCTCCGGAATAATCAAAACCGGAGCGGTGGTCAATCTAACCTTTAACTCTTGGAACGACTTTTCACAAGTCTCACTCCATACAAACTTGACCCCTTTTTCGCGTCAATCTAGTCAACGGCGAAGCTAGGCTGGAGAAATCTTTCTCAAATCGACGGTAATACCCAGCTAATCCTAGAAAACTGCAGATCTCAAAAACACTCTTAGGTTGTGCCCAATCTTGCACTGCCTCAACCTTGGATGTATCTACAGACACCCCTTCCCCGGATACCACATGGCCTAAGAATTTGACTTCCCCTAGCCAGAACTCACACTTCCCAAACTTGGCATACAGCCTATGGGCTCTAAGTAACTCAAGCACCACTCTTAAGTGTTCCTCGTGCTCCTCCTCAGAAGGCGAATAGATAAGAATGTCGTCAACAAAAA